TGCATAGAAATCCATGTAGAAGTAAAGAGATTTATAAGCTATGCACAAAAGTCAAAACTATGGAAGAGTTGGCCACAAAACACTTAATAATAGAGAAAGAACTCTTCCTAATAAATAGAGTACCTTTTTCTTTATTTTCATTAGTCTTGAAGCAAGTAATCTTCTGAGTCTTTTATTAGAATGTTGAAAGGGTGGTTAGAAAATATCATATAATAGTAATATTGGGGAACACCTACAAAATTCTCTCTTTAAGTAAATTTATAAGACGTTCTCTTGGGTGAATTGACGTGCCATCTCTAATTATGTACCATAGGAGATTTCTGTTTAAATAAATTCATGAGATATTCTGATCTTAGTTTATTAATAGTGAAATCTTAAAGGCTTACACCAAAAGAATGCTCCAAAGGATCGATGAGCCTGCTAGCTTTATTTTGTTCATGTCGTATTTAAAGGACATCGAAGAAACATGGGGTAAATGACTAAACTTGTAAGTCTGGATAGCTCCGTAAATCACGAAATATTTATAATGTCATGTATATGCGTGTAAATGTCATGCAATGCATAGGTCTGTACGTACATAATCTCATCAAGCCTCTAAAGGCATACCATCATATCATCTCAGCCACTATGGCCAAAATTATCAACGTATATCAGCTGATCAGGTGATGATGCGTATAACGCCGTAACCTTTTTTTATATCTCAAATTGTTGGATCATTAAGAGAAAAAAACTATTGGTACGAAGTGTTTTCAGAATAGTATAAACATTAACACCTTTATCAAATACTTTAATAGAGACTTAGGAAAAGGCTTAGACATGCTTGAATATCATTCTACAGGAATGAATAACCTAGACATCCTTAACTGTTAAGAGTAGAACCACTTATGGAATAGCATTACGTTTACGTATTGTTACTTGAATCATGCCAAAAAAAAGAAGGGATAACTTTAACATACTCGGACCACTGGACAATATCAAGCAGGCCAGTCAGCTTACAACGCTGCAGCTTGTCAGCAATGACCGAAGTGACTAGTAACTACAATAACCTCAACCCATTTTTATACTAAAAAAAACATAATTTCCAGCAATATCATATTAAAATCCCTACCTTCAGATCTTTTCTTGGCTGCCATTATCGGTCCGCGAGACCTCCTCAGGGAAAAGAATCATTATTGGAGTAGGTAGAGTAACAGGTCATGTTCATAAGAGAGAAAACTCTAGCAGAAGAGCTGCTCCTTAAATTTAACAGGCTAACTGAAGTGGTTTCCCTGAGAGATGAGCAACTCTTTAATGACCAAAGTTTATATTTTGGCTCTATTAAAAGGGTGGCTTCCGTTCATTTGAAAGTACAAAGCTTTTCTTTCTTCAAAGTGAATGTATGACTCACGTTATTAAATCTTTGCCGAACTCACATCTCTAATATTGCCACCTATGTAATAATTGTAAGAGTCATAATGTGTTTAAGGCAAAAGTTGCCACGTTTTGTTTTTATCCAAAATGTTTTGGATAATTACCAATTATCCGCATAATTAAAAATTATCTCAAATTACTTAAAATGTTACTCACTTTTAATACACTTTATACACCTTACTATAATATACTTTACTATCATAGTCATGTGGTACCATATAAATTAATACATACACTATTATTTCATTAAAACATCCATGTAAAAATACATATATTTTCTCAACTTATAATTTTCTTAATCTCATATAAAAAGTAAAAAAATTCGTACTCTTAATTTCTTAACACTTCTTAAATCTTCCATATATGAATAATTTCCTTAGGAGTGGTAAGTAAATTTTGGACTGATGAAATTTAGAGTTTCGAACCGATTGATGTTGAAGAATGGTCGGACAAATTATGATTAGTGAAATACAATTCGAACACAACTCAATTAATTTTTTTCAAAACATTTAGATGGAGTTAAACTGTATAACGTTTAATATGAATATCTAGCTAGGGTAGGTTATTTTTGGAAGTGAGAATAGGTTGTGGCATGTCTAACACATGTTGTCATTGATATGAATTATGAAAGTTCTTGTGAAAATTTCTATTACTAGAAAATTTATCTATTAAGACACAAAATACAAAATTAATTTTGAGTTAGTGTTAAACAAATATACCATTTAGTAGTCACGCTAATCTATTTTTCTTGTGAAAAATAATTTCCATCTTTACAATAAAGAAAATCTCATAAACTTTCTTATATTATGTGTATAATTGAAAGTAGTAATATTAATAACTATATAAAATCATATTTTACAAAACCATTTTTTTACGAAAATGTTCCACTCAAAATACCATATCAAATACATATGTAAAACAGTTTCAATGTTGTTAAACTTACGAGGTGTAACAAAATCTATAACTTAAGGGAGAATAGAGAAGGACTTCTAGGTTTGCGGACGCGGAAGATATACCTCAAAGTCTTTAAGATCACCTCGCCTCACTGAAAATATGGCTGTGAAGAGGTACTTGGATCTGCACACACAAAAACATGTGCAGGAAAGGGCATGAGTACACTACAACGGTACCCAATAAGTGCCAAGCCTAACCTCAGTCGAGTAGTGGCGAGATCATGTCAGGGTCCTACTTGTTTATATATATAATAAGGTAAAATAGTATGAAATATCGCAGTAAAGACTATCAGTCAATGAAAAATGAAATCACAGAAACATCAATTCAGTACACAGAGATAGCAATAAGGGATTTCTCGGGATACCGTCCCGTAGTCCCAAACGTAAATGTACAGAGAATCTCACGAGATACCGTCCCGTAGTCCAAATCATAAATGTGAAGGGGGATCTCCCGTAATACCGTTCCATAGTCCCAAAGTAAATATCCAGTACGAGGGAATCTCCCAAGATACTGTCTCGTAGTCCCAAACTTAAATATACAGGGGGATCTCCCGGAATATCATTCCGTAGTCCAAAGTAACTACACAACTCATTCAATATAAGCAACAGTTCAATAAGGAAAGCCTATAGTTCTAATTAAGCGCGTATCAAGAAGACAAGAAATTCTTACTCTAAACATGCTACACAGAATCCAGGTAGGCAGTTAAAGCAGATAAGATAGTTAAAGCACATAAGCATGCTTTCCTAGCTAAACAAGATAGCTACATATGATAGTACTGCTAAATTAAAGAAAACATAGGTATTTACTTAATAAAAATAGGGTTTTTCCACAAATAGCCCGTGCACGCACTAGTCATCTCACGTGCACGACATTCATATAACAATCAGTACCAAATCCTAAGGGGATTTCCCCCACACAAGGTTAGGCAAGCCACTTGCCTCAAACCAAGCTCAAAATCAATCCGAAATCACGCTCTTGCCACGAGTATCCAATTATGAGTGGCCCAAATTTAATCAAATCAAATCAATTACATAACGTGAATATAGCTACAAGTAACTAATTTAGCTAGTAAATTCAAAGCTAAGACAAGAAAATAGGAAAACGCCCAAAATTTCTCTCCGGCTCACGTCTCGGAATCGGGTAAAAGCCATAAATTAGGTACACCCATTCACTCATGAGTTCACTCGTATAAAAATCATCCAAATCCGATGTTTAATTCCCATTCAAACTTCAGATTTTCAATTGGGAAACTTTTCCCCCCATTTTCAAACTTCCACCCTCAAATTCCTTAATTAGATGACGAATACAACAATTGATTAATGTATTATGACCAAATTAGAGTTAGGATTAGTTACCCAATAGCTTTCCTTCAAAATCCCTCGAGAAATCGCCTCCTACTAAGCTCCAAATCAAATTTTGTGTTATGAAATTTCAAAGCCTCGAAATCCTCTTTTTTGCCCAGCGATTTTCGCATCTGCGCTCATGGGGCCGTATCTACGGTCCCGAACCTGCAAAAATATCAATGCAGGTGCGAAGGTCACTTATCCGGGCTGGGGCTGCATATGCGGTCACTGGGCCGTATCTGAGTCCCCCAACCACACCTACGGTCCAAAATTCGCAGGTGCGAAAACAACAGGTGCAGCAAATCTTCAGCCAATGCCTAAGTCCCAATTCAATCCATTAAGCATCTGAAACTCACCCGAGGCCCCCGGGACCTCAATCAAATATACCAACTAATCCTAAAACATCATAAGAACTTAGTCGAGCCCTCAAATCACATCAAACAACGCTAATATCACGAATCACCCTCCAATCCAAACTTAATGAACTTGAAATCTCAAAATTCTACAACCGATGCCGAAACCAACCAAACCATGTCCGATTGATTCTAAATTTTACACACAAGTCATATTCACCACTATGGATCTATTCCAACTTCTAAAATTGGATTCCGACCCAGATATAAAAAATTCCACTATCGGCCCGAAACTCCAAAAATTCAACTTTTACCATTTCAAGCCTAAATAAGCTACGGACCTCCAAAACACAATCCGGACATGCCCTTAAGCCCGAAATTATCCAACAGAGCTAACGAAATTGACAGAATTCCATTTCGGAGCCGTCTTTACACTACTCTGACTACGGTCCAAATTCTAAGAGATAAACTCTCATTTAGGGACTAAGTGTCTCAAAACACAGCGAAACTCAAAATGAACCATCCCGACAATTCACAATAGTAGAAAAGACACGGAAAAAATAGTTAATTGGGGATCAAAATATTAATTCTCAAAATGACCGGCCGGGTCGTTACATCTTCTATGAAAAATGCATACATAAGAATTTATATATTCAACCTTTGGAATTACATATTATTATACGTTGTGTCATTCTATTTTTACCTTAACCCAAAATATTATATATCTCTCATACCAAGTTCAGAACAACTCATCAATCACAAATTTACCAATATTCAAATATTACTCCGAAAAAAAGAAGTTCTTAATATACAGAAGAGCCTTGGAAGCAGCTGGGCGTTGTCTTGCCAGCTTGCCGACCAAGGTCCTTTTTAGTCATTTCATGTAGCACAATTTTAATACGTGTTGACTCTACAAAGACCTGCACGTGAAATCTGCCTACAACTTGAGGTTGAGAAGGACAAGTGACCGCTTCAATTTCTATCTAATTGTTTACTCTGCTTTTCTCTTCGCCTGTACTCTATGTTTTTCGCTGGTAGTAAATATCATCGAATACCTTTGTTTCTTTGTTCGATCTCTGACCCTCCGGCCAAATTACTGGTACGTTTCTCTTTCACCCACTAAAGTATAGTTGTTTAGAATATGAATTTTTAATATTTAGTTAGTAAACTTATGAATATTATGTATTTTGAAGAAGATGAAATGTTGATCAAGGTAATTTATTTCGGTCATTTAGCAAATCTTTTGTAGTGATCTAATCGCACTGATTTCTATTCTAGAGTTAGATGGGATTATGAATTATTGTATTTTCAAAATTGTAAGATCTCAATTTACTTTCTTTTTTCCAAGTTTGAATTGAATCTGAAAGTAGCGTAAAAGTAACAATGATTTAAGTTTACATATTTGCTCAAGTTCAAAGGATTTTACCCTATGAATTTCACTTACCATGCCAATCACATTAAAATCTTATTTTTCTGTCTATTACCAAAAATTAAGTGATTGTTGAATATTAGAGGTATTAGTGAGTAAATTTGACAAACTATATACAATCTGCTTTTTCTTAGAAGAAAAAGCCTGTTCAGAAACGTAGCTTAAGCATTGGTAGTATGGACAGAGGTAACCAAAGATTTGAAGATTATTGGTTCGAAGTGTCACTAAACAACATTGACTATTTCTGATATTGGGTTCAGAATTCAGTATTTATATATATTTAATAAGAGATATTTTAATATATATACAAGGCTCGGGCCAAAAGCTACTAGGTTCGACCGAATCCATAGCTTATATCCTGCCCCGCCCTCGAGATCTCACAATGCATTTAAAGAGAACCAAGTTTTGTGTCATTTTCATTAGTTAGAAGCTACATAAGTTAATTTAACGTCCAATATTACAAGTAGACAAATCATGAAGGAATTACAAATACACATAATTAAGCACTAGAACATGATTTTGTAGCAGAAAGCATTAATTCCTGAGTATAATCAGAAATAGAATACCTTTTAAAGTAATTAGTTTCATGTTTTATTTTATCACTTTCTTCTACCCATTTCTTGAACTTCTGTATTAGAGAAAGGGGATGCATGAGCGTTGGATAATGGAAAGAAAGTAGAATTGCTCGGGACCTAGTGATCGATTATTTCTTCTTTTGGAATGATCATTTGAATGAATGACCTCCTAATATGGGACCTTAAGCAAGTTTCATTATGTCCCACTAATAAACTCCTCATGATTAAGTCATTTACTTATGGCACAAATTCAGTGACAATTTCTGTTCTGTATCAAGTTTTACTGGATCATAGAGCTTAGCATTCCAAGACTGAGTTTGATGAGGCTGATAGGATGTTTGGTACCAGCTTTTGTATGTGTTATAAAATATAAGTCAATCAGAGGCAGACGTAGGATTTGAGCGTGGCCGATGCACCATTATCTTTAACATAGATATGCCAATTACTAGCGATATGCACATATGGGGCCTTGCAGTGTTTTGATGATGACAATAATATTTTTGCTTCCTTCTCTATTCAATCTGTCCTGTTCCTTTTGTTTCAACTTCTGCGCTTCTTGTTTTGTTTTCTATCAGTTTATTTGGTGATAACTAGGTTTTTTGGGTTTTGATATATCTCTATGAGGGTTACGGCCTGTGTGTATTTTAGACTGATTCTTCTGTTGTTTCCATAATTTATAAACTATTTTGGCATATATTTTGTTATAATTAATTTTTGCCTTCCTAAACGATCAACTTGGTGGTTAATTACACATACACCAAACAGGAAGAAAAAGAAAAACTAATAAAACATTAGGTATATTAGAGGCTCACCTAAAGTGATGGGTTTCATATATTGTAGGAATGTTCCAATATTTAATTTTACGTTGTCTGCTCTGGGTCTCTGCTTATATATTGTCTTTAGGTATATTTGTGTTCTTTTTTACTTTCTTCATTTTGCAATGCAATTTACAATACATTTTCGCTCATTATTGATGGTCAGATTAATTACCTTTTGATTTGTATTAGAGATGTCATGTTAAAAATGTATAGGTTATTCAAATACAGATGCCTATCGATAAAAAAGCCACGGCGCCAAGCTGTCTCTTTCAGAAGAGGAAGCGACATTACTCAGCAGAAAGAGCTTCTTAAATAAAGCTCAAGAGACATGATGTGTATGCAAATGAGTCAGCGGATAAAAAAGAAATGCTTTTATCACAACAACGATCAAAAAATATTGAGTCGACAAGCCAAGGTCTCTTGGTTAAACATACTGAAGTAGCATCATCTTCTGAAGCTGTTGCTGAGTGACCTAGACAGAGAATACTAACAATAGGGGAATCATGTTGCCTTGGTGAAAAAGGTTAGGAAAAGAAATATAACTCTTATGTATATAGAATTTTGGATGTTTTTTTTGGGATTTTAGCTACATATGTATTGTTAATGTTAACATGCGTTCACTTCTATGTAGCCGATAAATCTTGCGCGGACGGCACAACAGTTTGTTCTAACAAAGGGAAGAATATAATTGGCTCCCTTTCTGTATTCGAATATGGTTAGTAACTATTAAAATGCAGTTTCAATTTTAGTTCACTTGAAATATTTCGTATATCATTTATAATGATTTGCATATTAGGTTCCTCATCAAATTCACTCGATGAACGGCGTGATCCTGCGGCATCCATTGTCATAAAAAAAGGTTTGTCTTGGTACTCTTTTAACAACATTAGCCATATATCTTTTCTCAATACTTGTATGATATCCAACAACTTATATACACAGGTTATAGATGAAAGATAATAGGTTGTTGGAATTTCAAACAGTTGCCCAGTAACACAACCATTTTGAAAACTGTACCAAACTATAAATATTGTGGAGCTAAAAGGTTTGAATATGAATCAGCAGGATTTTGCTGTAGTAATGGTTCGGTTAAGTTGACGTCATAAGAAATGCCCAATGAATTATTAAATCTCTACTTAGGCAATACTGAAGAATGTGAACATTTTCGTACCTACATTAGACTGTATAATAATATGTTTGCTTTTCACTTCACTTGGGGTGAACTATGACAAAGTACTAGCAAAAAGAACCACAGAATTTACACATTTAGGGTACAGGGTCAAATGTATCACTTCATAAATGATTGGATTCCAACAAATCGACAACCAAGAAATTTACAGTTGTATTTTTATGATGAGAACACAGAAATATTGAATCGAATGGCTTCCTCGGGTATACTTCGACAGTCGATCATTGCGAAGCTAATGGATATACTAAAGATAAATCCTTACTGTATCTTCTTGAAATCTCTGATACATATTCTGTAATTATCAAACTTTTACATAGCATTGAGATGTGGTTCTGGCTTAGATCAGAGAGTATATAATCTGCCAACTGTGTCAGAAGTAGCAGCATTATGGCCTGAACAAGAAACGAACAACAATATTTATTCACCGCATATCCGAATTTACACTCGCAGTAACAAAAGTCAAATAGTAAATTACTATTATGGTTGATATGATCCTTTGCAATATTCGCTTTTACTTCCTTACGGTCAAAATAGGCGGCATTGTGGTATCCCAAAAATCTTACAGCCTAGGAATAAATTGAAAAAATGAGCATACTACGAGACTGAGCAGCTTCCAAGCCTTTGTAACATGTGTTCAATTAATGGACTACTTGATATGGAAGCTGATGTTTTGCAAAAAGGAAAACGAAAAAGGAATAATGTTTCTTGTCGTGAATACTATTGTTACAAACTGAAGATGAGAGACAATGAGGAAAACGGAGTTTTACATTCTGGCAGATTATTTTAACAATACTCTGTTGATGAATTCATAAAAGTAGAAACTCAGAGATTAGATTTTGCCTCATTTAACCAAGATTTATTTCGGGCTGATGTATTACAAGGACTTCTGGATATCCTGAGACTTGGTGAAAGAGAAGCTTCTAAGATAGAAAAACAAAACTTTCTTCCGACAAGTTTTACGGGAGGTCTAAGAGATATGCGCCAGTGTTATATGGATGCTATTGCATTAGTACAACATTTTGGAAAGCCTGATATATTTCTGACCATGACATGCAATCCCTCTTGGCCTGAAATAAAGGAACATTTGCACACAACAGATGAAACTCAAAATAGGCCTGATTTAATTAGTCGAGTGTTCAGAGCAAAAGTAAAAGAGATGAAAACAGATATATTAAAAAGAAACATATTTGGAAAAGTTGCAGCTTTTATGTACACTATAGAATTCCAAAAACGCAGTCTTCCACATGCTCATTTTCTTGTTATACTTACTGATGACTACAAATTATTGACGCCCGAGGCTTATGACAAATTTGTTAGTGCTGAGGTGCCTGATCCTGATATGAACTCTTACTTGCATAAGCTTGTATTAAACACATGATGCATGGTCCTTGTGGTCATTTGGATCCTACAAATTCATGTATGAAAAGAAATGAGTGCAAATTTAAGTACCCGAAGAGCTTTGCTGATGAGACAACGAAAAGAAAGAACTCATATCCAATTTATAGAAGATGAAACACTGGTAAATCTGTGAAAGTTAGGAAATAATTTCTTGATAACTCATGGGTTGTTCCGTACAATCCTTATCTGCTCTGTAAATACAATTGCCATATAAATGTAGAGGTTTGCTCAGATATTAAAGTTGTCAAATATATATACAAATATATCTGTAAAGGACATGATAAAATTTTGTTTGGCTTACACGAAGATAACACAAATTTACAGATAGATGAGATAAAAGAGTATCGATCTGCTAAATGGGTGTTAGCTCCAGAAGCTCTGTGGCGCTTATTTGCCTTTCTTATTAGCGAAATGACACCAAGTGTTTATCACCTCAAGTTACATTTTTGACGGATTACAGTTTGTCTCTTTTAAAAAAACTGACACAATAGACAGTATCGTGAAAAATCCTATGCTTAAGAAGACGATGTTGACAATTTTTTTGTTGATGAATGAAACAAATAATGATGCTAAACAACTTAAATTATTCTATAAAGATTTTTCACAATACTTCGTATGGTCATCTACCTATAAAATGTGGACCCGACGACAACGAGGTAATGTTATCGACCGCGTTGAAACGTGTCATCCAACAGAAGGAGAAAGATATTACCTTAGATTATTACTAATGAATGTGAGAGCACTAAAATCATATAAAGATCTTCTGACAGTAAATGGAATATGTTGTGACACATTTAGAGAATCTACAGAAAAAAGAGGATTGCTGTATTGTGATAACAGCTTAGTCGAATGTATGTCAGAGGCTGCTTGTTATCAAATGCCATATAGTTTAAGACGTTTATTTACTACAATATTAGTATACTGCAGTCCTGATAATCCAAGAGAACTATAGGAACAGTTTGAAGATTCAATGTCCGAAGACTTTAAGAACCTAGCGAATATAAGGCCAACGGATATCCACCTTGCTATCTTGAATCACATCAATGACATACTACATTCTATGGGACGTGATATTAATGAGTTCAACCTTATTTCAGAAATAATCACATCTTCAAAAATAGCAAATGAAGCAAAGGAAGTGTATTTCGAAAGAAACATCATTGTGAGCGATGAAGATTTATTGTTACATAGAAAATTAAATGCTGAACAAAAAATAGCATACGACATAATTCTCTCGAGAGTATTTGCCAATAAATCTGGAGTATTTTTCATTGATGGTCCTGGAGGAAGTGGTAAGACATTCTTATATTGTGCCTTATTAGCAACTGTGAGATATACCGGATTTGTAGCGTGAGCAACAACAACTTCTAGCATTGCAGCTTCGAACCTGCCAGGAGGACGAATAACTCATTCACGTTTTAAAATTCCGATTAATATCGATGAAAAATTTTCTTGCAATATCAGCAAGCAGAGCTCACTGGCATCTTTTATTCGCGATACACAATTGATTGTATGGGATGAAGTATCGATGGCAAAAAAGCATATGATTGAAGCTTTAGATTCTCTCCTAAAAGATATAATGGAAATAAATATTCTTTTTGGTGGAAACGTTATTGTATTTGGAGGAGATTTTAGACAATCTCTTCCTGTGGTTCGAAGTGGAAAGAAGGAAGACTTCATTCGGCAAAGCATATTGAACTCCGAAATATGGAATGAGCTTGAAAAACTCCAATTATTAGAGAACATGCGTGCAAACACTAATCCCTCTTTTTATGAATATTTGATGCGAATTGGAAATGGAACAGAAAAGATAAACACGGATGACAAAATAGAAATTCCGACATCTTTCATTGTTCCTTATATTACTGAAGAAGAATCGTTGGACCTCTTATTCGACATAATATATCTCAATTTGCATACGTCTTTTCATGATTCTTCCTTTTTAACCTCTCGTGTTATTTTGACGACAAAAAATGACTTTGTTGATGAATTGAATGATAGACTTATAACTCTATTTCCTAAAGATTCTAAGACATTTGTTGCCACTGATGAGACTATTGAACCGAATGATCAAAGCCAGTGTGAGGATTTTCTACATTCATTGAACCCTGTTGGTCTACCTCCTTACAAACTAATCTTGAAAGAAAATTGTCCCGTTATATTGCTGCAAAATTTAAATCCTTGTGAAGGTTTGTGCAACGGTACATGACTGATATGCTGTGATTTTAAGAGTCGTGTGATAAGCGCTAAAATTGCGAGTGGTGATTTTAAGAATACACGTGTATTTATTCCTAGAATACCGTTATTATCTTCAGATGATGAGAAACTACCTATCCCATTTAAAAGAACACAATTCCCACTACGCTTGTGTTTTGCTATGACGATAAATAAAGCAGAAGGACAAACATTAGACTATGTTGAAATTTATTTACGTGAACCAGTGTTCTCTCATGGCCAATTATATGTTACTTTATCCAGAGCAAAGAGTTCAAGCTGTATAAAAATATTAATACGACCACCTACGACAGATAACGATGATGACCATTCTACATATAACATAGTGTATAAGGAAATCATTCAAAAAGCCCTTCTATAACCTTATAGCTTCCTTATTTATATTGCTTATGTGGTGTATATTTAACTTGCTGATTGTTGCTCCTCATTCACTTATTCTTAGAAAATGAAGCAACAACTTTCATTTCTAATTGTTCTTCTTATGTATTCTAATGTTTTCTTTGGGTCTTGAAACAATTTTCCTGCAATTTGGTAGGACGTAAATAAGAGTTAGCTTATTTACCTGCAAATCATTGTAACACTTTTATTCTTCTGATATAGGTTTTTTATGCGCAATATACAGATAAGGATGTTTACATTGTAAAACTCTTCAAGACCCAATCAGTGAAAGCATTCGTGTTCACAAATTTAAAAATACAAAGGTTTATCACATATTTCTGTGATTTTGTAACTATGTAAAGTTGATATGCATGATCCTCACCTCTAGAAAAAATTATGTTTTTAACTCCGCCTGTGTTGAAGTTATACTGTGACACAGCCGGTCCCAAGCCCGGATAAAAGAGGAGGATTTGTTGTTTATTAGCAATGACACTTATGTTTTTATTTTTTGATTCAGCTATACTCAATGTGAACTGCTTTAAATTTAATTAGTATCTTCATCAGTTCCCTTAGATGAACTGTTTGCCATTTATTAAAAAAAGACTTTCTAAATATGTTATATGTTTTCCTCAGTTTTACTTATCTTTCAGGATATCATAACCAAAAGAATTGTACAGGCAACAAAGACTACTGCTGTAAGTTAATGGGAATGGAGACAACTGATCAGGTGAGTTAAATTTTTTTATGAGTAACTCATGTTGGTACTAGGTGTAACTTTGCAAGGAAAGTTTTAAGCTCTATTGTTCAAAATTTGAAGTATTCTTCTACCATATGGTTTTGCTACATATGCCAAACATTGGATCCTTTATGTAGATTATTGGAAAAAATTGCAATGAAAAAATATCAATATCAAAGACAAATTAACTGGAACCATTGCAAATTTGAAACAAGAAATCCTTACCTATATTTTCAAGGTTACATATTTAAATTTGTTCAAGATTTGCAAGCAGACTGATAATTTTCTCATAACATATCTGTGTTAATAATGATTTAAACTCCATAACTCAATTATTGACATGTAGAATTATTCAATCTCAATCATTCCATGAACCAGCAATTTGCTTTAGCTAAGAGATGACTGTTTCTCTATAACACTACAACTGGTAACCCACTTGAATATTTTTGATCAATTTAAACTCAAAACGGATTTGATATTCCTTTGTAGAGTGTTCACTTAGAAGAAACTGGAAGACTTGAAATGGATGTTCGATTCGCTAGCTGCACAATCTCAAAGCAGTGGAGAATACATTCTTCATGGTTATTAGTATTTAAATCACACTATTCTTTTTTAGAAATATGTTGTTTTTTTCATTATTTTGGTGTATGATTTTATTGAGTTTTAATTGAGAATGTTTATGTGGGCCTTCCATTAAGCATTAGTTGTGATTGTAATGTCTAGAGATGTCTTGATATATCTGAGGATGAGGGTTGGTTGAGTTGGTGAAAAGGAAAAGTGAACCATGTGTCAAATTTTGATGACTGAAGAAGAACCCAAGTAGTTAAATAAATATAACTTGTATCTCTTTTGATGCACTTCTCTTTCCCAGAAAGAAGACGTGTGATTAAATGTTATCTGTACTTCTATTTGAAGTGAAAGATTTTAAACCTAACATGAACATTGGCTAACTATATCTTGGCTAAGAAAAAAAAAGGCATTCCTTGTTAATTGAAAGTTATAAAGAATGTTATCAAGTTGACAATAAATATTTTATTACCTTTGCCTATTAGTTGAGCGTGAGCATATATAATGCAGTTGGATTTTAGATGGAAGTAGGGTTAGATTGAGATAGATGGGCAGAAATATGACAATAGCATCATGTCGAGACGATCATACATTTTATTTAAAGCTAATAATGAAGTCATCCCGCCTAATTCATAGTATTTTATTCAACGGTTACATATACTTATCTTTTTGTTCTTTTCGCTAAGTATGTATACTTCTGAGATCTTATTGCTACTATGAACAAAACAAGTCTGGCAGGCAAATTAGTTACTTTGGCAGTGGAAATTATATGATAATCTGACTTATTGAGTACAATCCTACTCAGATTTCTACACCATAAATAAAATGTGAATTTTATAGATGATTTGTACATTTACTGTTACTCTGCTCAAAAGTGGTGTGTGATGTCTTACCATAAGGTCTTTGTCAACTGTGATGTTTTGTTTCCATCCGTATTTTTATTAGAGCATTTATGCTATTTGTCCAACTTCGAGAGACTATTGCCGGTATAGCCATTGGATGCCTTCAGTAATGAAGGACAATAAAGGAGCTTCAGAGTGCTATCATCATGGTGAATGCAAAAAATATTACTGAACCTATTATTATGGAGAAAATTCTACAATATAAATTGAACTTTGGAGTCCTTAGCGCCTCCTCTCCAAGGTTAGTGATTTCTTAATAGCCATTAATAAACTTAGTTGTTGTGCTGCTTAAAATTTGGCATAATATACTGAAAATACTATTTCTTTCCTCCATGCTTCAGTAGGTGGATGAGCTCTTGATCATGATGCTATATTGTGTGATTACTCCCCCGAAGGAGCATGTTTTGCTTGTGTTAGGACATCAAGGTGACCCAAATGAAAAAGAGAGAGTGTGTGTGGTGAATTCTTAGGAATAAAGGTGAACTTCTCTGTGAGATCTTGTTACAAAACAATTCATGTGGGAGGTGAGAGAATGTTCCAAAATGGTTAGAATGACGAATCTGGAAAGAAAGGGGCCCTTACAAAGTGGCCTATTTCACATGCTTAGCATCGCTCAAATCTTATTTAACAGAAGATAATATATTTAAAAAGACGTTTCAACTTATGTAATGGGTGTTACATATGCAAAGAGTATATCGCTGGAAACAACCAACTTGTTTTTGCACTATAAGATGGCTTCACAAGTTTGAGACATATTTTTGAACTTATTTAATCTAAAGTGGACGATGCCAAACTCACAGAAGGAGTTATATGTTACGCTTCTACAACTTGAGGAGAAGAGAATAGTGTGACAAAGACTATGCCTTCTTGCATTTGATGTACAATATGGAAATTAAAGAGAGAAATCTTAAATGTTTTGAAGACAAAGCGAAGCCCGTCAGCAAAATTTTATAAATTTAGTTGTTTTTCTGTTGTCCTTTTGGTGCAGGGCAGAATGTTTAAAAAGTGGTGTAAATCTGATAGAATTTCATTAGTTCATTTCAGAGTAGCGAATCTGAAAATGTTTTACTGTAGTTGTATATTATTATACACCGGGTGGTTACTGGGCACAACATTCAGAAATATATTAGTTGAGTAACCCTGGTGTTTACCTTGGTAATGTTTATTCATGAACTTTTTACTTCCACAGAAGTAGATATATAGAATATGTAGTAAACTTTTCTTTTGCTGCTGACCTGTATTATAATAACTTTACTTTGGTTTGAGCCACCATTAATAAACTCATTGCTTCTACAATATTCATGCTTTCTAAGGACTTCGTACCTTGATATCAATGATTTGCTACTATATCCTTAGCTACCTTGCTACTATTTTCTTTTGTAGGAATGTGTTAGCGATAGATGGTCAATCGGCTTTCATTTGAATAATGAGTTGTTTATACAATAATCGGTTTTCATTTGAATAATGAGTTGTTTATACAATAATATGTCTAAGTCATTTTCTCTATAATCATGTACAGAGATGAGTGACATTTAAAAATAACATTAACAACAATGTACTAAATAGCTGTAAGCCCGAGCTAAATCTCACTAGTAAAAATAGATGCGCACAAAGTTCAACTTCACATGCACCTAATAATTAACAAACAAACCCTAATTGTAGCCTACCGAGAGCTAGAAGGTGAAGGGGGAGGATCCGGAGCAGTACGTGTGACTGAACGATACCATTATTAGTGTTATCACTTTGACTATTACTTGTCGTAGCATTTATAATAGGAATAATCAAAACAAATATTTTTAAGGCCTACATTGAAATTTCAGTTATTGTTTTTGGTCGGAAGTGGTTGTTTACTCAATGCCAACAACATGCTTTTCTTTCTCAGTCTTGCATTGGACACGTTGAACCCGGTGCCAACGCCGCCATAGTTTTTTTCTCAAAACTAGTTGCATGTACAATTTAGAGTGAAATGAAGAAAAAAAAAGATGAATAATAAATTTGTAATTTGTAAATTTTTTGGTACCACTTCTAATAAAATGGTGACCCGATTTGATAATATTATAGGGAGTTCACTGAAAATGAAATGTCACTGGGAATGTGAGATTTTTACGTGTATAATGAGTCTAAATCTAGGCCCTTAAGCCCCCGGTCTGAATTTTCCCATGTATACCAAGTCTAAAGCTAGGATTTTTGGTGCAACTAATGGATCTTTGTGTAATGAGTTAGCAAAACTAACAGGAAGTGGGTTTGGGATGAGCATGATGGGTAAGCTAAATTTCTCCCTTCAATTAAAAGTTTAGCAAACTAAGAACAGTATTTTATATCTTATTTATGCTTTAATATAATTATTTGAACTGTTAGTGAGTGTCGGAGTCGACTCCTCACTACTACTTCTTCGAGGCTAGACTTAATACTTACTGAGTATCGTTGTTTTCGTACTCATATTATACTTATGCATATTTTTGTGCAGGTTCTGAGGCTGGTATTACAAATATTCCTCTAGCAGAGTAGGAGAACTATTTGGAGACTTCATGGTGAGCTGCTTCACTTGATCCGATCCACAACACATGGATTCCCCTTCCCTACTTAGCTATTTTTGTCTATTTATTTCTTTTCAAACAGATGTTATTGTTCAGTTCAGACTGTTTACTCTTGTTAGATGCTTGTGACATTGTGACACTGGGTTTTGGCATTGTTAGACAATTGTGGTTGCATTTTAAACCTTGTCTTAGACATTTATATTTATGATATTGGTTTTGAGATTTATTCCACATTATTACCTTTATTATATCTCTGTTAATTATTAAAAATTGGATTTTATTATTGTTTTTTAGTGCTAGATTGCCTAGTAAGTATGTTAGGTGCTATCATGACCATTGGTGGCATTTTTGGATCATAAATAGTTGGTACCAGAGCTCTAGGATTTAAGGGTTTTACAATTCATGAGCACGCCTAGTAAAGTTTTGTGGATCGATACTGACACGACAATATCTATCTACGAGAGGTTGTAGAGATTTACAAAAGTTTCCCTTTTTGATTCCTTATTGTGCATTGATTATTGTATAAGTATAAATCTTTTTATTCTACTCTCTCATAGATAGTGAGAACTCATGCGTTAGCTGTAACAGGTGAGTGGGAGGTTGTACCCCAGCTGTATCTGGGAGAGGTAGGGCCAGGGGTCGCACAGTCATAGCTAAAGGTAGAGAATCCATCGGAGCCAGTGGCCATAGAAGGTTAGTTATAGCGGACCCACCTATGGATAAAGTGGATGATTACATTATAGATAAGTATGTTGAGGTCCCACCACTAACTCACCATATAGAGGGTTTTGTCGATGCACCAGTCTTTTAGGAGGCCATGGCTAAGATGATCAGCTTTATCGATGCCTTGACTCAGGCTGCAGTGATTCCAGTGGCGCCAGCCACATCTCAGGCTTCTAGATAAATGTCATCAGATGCTTTGCAATTTGGGCTTGGTAGAGTCCAATAAGGTGGACTTCACTACATTTAAGTTGAGGGGGGCTGCCAGGAGATTGTGACAGACTTATGATATAAGTGGTTCATCTCCTCTTACTTGAACTTTGTGGTACACTTATTTCTTTGAGGAGTACATCCCACTCACCATAAGGGATGAGTTGAGAGGCCAGTTCGAGTATCTTCAGCAGGATCATATATCAGTAACAGAGTATGAGGTAAGGTTCGTAAAGTTGTCTCTTCGTGTAACTTTTTTTATCCCCACTGAGAAAGAGAAGGTGAGACAATTTATTGATGGTTTGACTTACAACATTAGGGTTGCTATGGCTCAAAAGTCAGAAATTGGGACTACTTTCAATTAGGTCGTGGAGATGGTTCGAAGGATCAAGCGTATTTGCATTGAAGTTGAGAGAGTACATGATAAGAGACAAGAGGCCTCATCATTATGGTAGTTTCAGTGGTACCTCATTCGGAGGTAGGGGTTAGTATGGTAGAGACTATCATGGTAGGCCCCCTTATTCTACACAACATGTAGCTTGTGGTGTAATGGCTCATCTATCTTTCAATACTCCAATTCCATCCTCTTTTAGTGCTCTTCTTGGCGAGCTCGTACTAGGGTCCATATGTTCATGGTTATTCTAGTGGATACTCAAGTCATCAAGGGTAGTTCCAAGTTTAGCAACCTCATTCATTCAGGGATGTTATGAGTGTGGAGAGTTCAGACAAGTGAGGAAGTATTACCCCAGGTGTGGTAGAGGCGCAACTCCACAGAGTTCTCAGATAGTGGATCCCACACCAGTTGCATTACCCCATGGCCAATCACTTAGATGGGGAGGTGATAGGTTACAAGTACCTTGGGCACAAGTACTTTACTTTATGTTTTGATGATCTAACAAACTTACCATCCAGAACCAGATAAGGAACCTGTTACACATTTACAAGACCTTGAGATCACAAAGTTCCAGGTTGGGATCCAGTGTGGGATATAAATCAGCTCTTCAGAGTGGAAGGAATAGCTGAGGGAACAGGTCCCTACCAGTTCCCAAGGAGACTGTATGAAGTCAACTCTCCAGCAGGAAAGTTGCTGCCTACACAACCATCTGCACAGGAACAGTGAAGCAGTCAACTTTCTATGGAAGGCTTTTTACCTAGCTTGCTTACATCATTGTAAGTGATGTCACACCGTATAAATACAATCAAGAAAGGTAAAACAACTTACTTCATGAGAGAGCCAAATAAAGAACCTGAAGCATGTCTGGTATAATCATTCAAGTTAATCGACTCAAGATAATCTGGGCAATGTGCCTTTAGATTCACAGGAACCATATTAGGGACCTGATCCTTTGGTGTTCCCCTGACAGAAGTATAAGTCAACTGTACAGCTGGAAAGCAACTGTAGAAAGTGACTATCTGCAACTGTACATACAACAGTGCATCAGACAATGCAACAATCACTTCCCATTGAGAAGAGGCATGTACTAACCAAGATTTGACATCACCATTGTGAATTGACATCACTATGGTAATGTCTTTTGTAGTATAAACCTAGTTCAAGGCACAAGACACTCTCCAACACTTGCAAATCAGAAAAGGAAATATTCTCCCAAGTGCTAGCAACAACTTCTCTCAAGAACAAAGCTGTTGCAACCTCAAGGACCGGATCCAAGATTAAAGATATCTTAAATCCTTAGGTTTGTTGAGTCTTTGTTATTTGTTCTTCATTGTAACTCCTATCTTGCTTACTTAGAAGCTGTTTTTTGGAAACACAAAATCCGTAAACTCTCCAGTTTATGTTGTGACTAGGTGTAGTCATAAGTTAAAATCTTTGTAACTAGAGAGTTACAAAGTAGCTTGTAATAGTGTTATTACATGTTAGAGTGAGTAAAAACCTTTGTAAATATAGAGTGACAAAATGGCTTGTGGTGAGAGCATCACAATTTAGTTAAAGTCTTTGTAACTAGGGAGTCACAAAGTGACTTATGGTAAGAGTACCACAAGTTAGTTGAGTTGAATTCTTTGTAATAGAGTAGTTACAAAGTGGCTTGTAATAGGTGTTTACAAGTTAGTGAAGTTGAAAGCCTACAAGTGTAGGTCGTGGTTTTTGTCCCCTTGAGTTGGAATTTTTCCACGTAAAAATCCTTTGTGTTCTTTATTTACTGCCCAGCTACTGTAGGAACAATTAGAGAACCTGATTCCCTAAACTGTTTGGTTTTACAATCTATTGCTTACAATGGGAACTTATAGAGAATCTAGTTCTCTATATAGTGGGAACTTATCCTGTGTCTCATTTACATACTGGTTCAGTAGTTATCACTGTGGGAACTAATATAGGACCAGATCGCTATACATTTTAGTTTATTAGTATTTTCAGTGCAAACTCATAGAGAACCCGGTTCTCTATACAGTCTGGTAGATGCTTAGTTTCTAACAATTGGTATCAGAGCATGTTCTTTCTAAAAGGTTAACACCTAGAAAGGATCTACATGGTTGCTCCACCAAACTTTGAGGAAAGTCAATCAACCAATAGACCACAAAGATTTCCGAAGATGGTTCGTAAAAATAATGGGATCCCAAAGAAGGGAAGTTTCAGCAGGAATTTCAAAGGAAATGATTGATGTCATAAGTGTGGAAATCCTGAACACTTCATCAAAGACTGTCCATTTCTGAAACAAGAGCATTACAAACATAACTCTGACAAAGTAGCAAAAAGGAACCCGGTTCCTGACAAACGATTCAGCCGAAAAAGTGTAGCTGACAATGTTGTGAAGCAAGCTCTTGCTGCATGGGGAGACTCCTCCAGTGAATCAGAAGAAGAACCAGATATAG